TGTGCCGTGCCGTGCCGTGCCTGTCGTGGTCTGCGGATGCAGTCACACAGACCCGTTGGTGTGATTGCGCCACTTTGTCACGTGACAATGCCACGGACGTTGACGAGCCAACTTCCCTGGTTTGTATTGCACACACGCTCATTCCCCCATACACTGCCTCGTGGACAACCGCGAGAGAGAGAGAGAGAACAAACCACATGACTCACAGTGCACATTTTCGACAGACAGAAGCCACCACCGATGAGGAAGAGCACCTGCCAGGGACAACGCGACTGGGCCACCTTCCAGGGCAAAACTGGTTCCAAGGGATCGATGGCTTGTTCTGTAGAGAGAGTGCATAGATATTACCACCAAGGCCTTTGCAGCGTCTTGCTCACAACTGCCTTGTGTATGCGTCAATCACACGCTCACATCCACGCACACACACACACACACACAAACTCGCCCTCACCCAGCAACTCGCCACCTGCGCTCCTGCTTGCACATGGGTCAGCAATGCGCACTCACCTGTAGGTTGCCTTCTTCGGAAGGGATTGTTGGCAGGCCACACGCAAATCAGAATGCTTCCCAGCACTGCGGCTTGGGTGTCCGTTGTGAGCCTAGGTGAAGCAAATAACTAGCATCAGAGAAGCCACCTACGTAGTCGCCGAAAGCGTCATTTCTGTCCATGGCATGCAATGACCCAATGTTCTTTTGCACTTTCAACCTCTCCACCACCAACTAGGCTCAACACTTGAACACAGGCCAGAGGTGCGGTGGTCGTCAAATTGACAGCTTTTCCTCCCTACCCTCCCCTCCTCCCTAACTCCACACATCGTCTTGTTACAACACAAGGAGAAACAAACAGCTAACTCACTGTAAAGGCTTGCCATTTTCCTGGACACCAGATGGCACCAGAGCAGACCAGCCTTCGACACCAGGCTTCCTCGAGACCCAGAGCAACACAACTGCCACGAGAATACCAAGTGCTGAGCCTTCAGCCCATCTACAATCGTAAAGGAACATCCACCTCATGACGCATGATCGTACATCCTTAACAGCCGGACTGCCGGTAAGGCGAGTCGGCGTTCGGTGAAACTTACTCAATTGGACCCAATGTCGACATCTCTTCCTGCACTATCTGCTGGATGGCCGCGTCGCGCGACTTGTCCGGGTTCTTCCAGGCGAAGAACTTCCTGAAAGCACCACCACACGCAGTAAATGTGCGCCCTCCACACTACACTCCACCACACCATCCAACCCAATCTGCCACTTCTTTGCTTCCACACTCACGCCTGTCGCGTTGTGTCCAATTATGCCACGCAACTACTGCGTCACTACTGCGTCAGTACAGCGCAATGCACGGAAGTCGGAAGAGTAGCAGACTGGAGCTCACATCAACCAGCATCAACCAGCACCGTGCCTTTCAACTCGAACACTGCCTGCACGTGCTCATGCACACACACACACACACGCACACACACGGTCACTCACCTTGGCCCAATGAAGATTATGCAGAGGATGGCCCACACACACAGGAGGAGGATTAGGGATAGTGGAGTGCCATATGCGGCCCACGTACCGAAGGTCAGTGTGGTGTCAGCTCCGTATGTGCTGAAAGCAAATCAACAACGTGTCTCAACCCTCATGCTATGCATTCTTCGCCTCTGCATGTGGTCGTCATCCGGCTGCCTCAGTAACCACTCCTCACTCTTCTACTGTGATGTTAAACTTGGCATTTCCTCGCCATCGGAAATTCGTGGGCTACACATGAATGCCTGTAATTGCCTGAGGGACTGCGAGTATGCTACACCAGTGGGAGTTTGCCCAGAAACACTACAGCAACAACAACAACAACAGCAACAACAACTACTACTACTACAGCAGCAGCAGCAGCAACAACAGCAGTTCTTAGCACCTTCACGTGTGCCTGGAATTCGGGACCACGGACAGAGGCGGGTTTGACATGGAGGCGAAGGAGTGAAGAAACGCAACCAACAACACTTACTCTGCAACCATGCCAACGAACACCACGTTGGTCGGAGTACCAATGACGGTGCCCATTCCACCGCAGCTCGATGCGTAGGCGACACCCAAACTCAGACCGCAGCCTAGCTTCTGCAATTCTTCCGAGTTGCTCGAGACGTCATCGCCATTCCTCGCCTCAACATCCCTCGTGCCTCCAGCATTCCCAGACCTAGTAAAATATTCACACACACACACACTCACACATACACACCTAGACACGCGTTTTATCAATGCATACGTAGGAGCTATGTATGAGCCTCATGTGGGCCTCATGTCAGGCACCTACACGACATCACGTAGGCTCGGCCTCCCAACGACAATGCACAGGCAGCACCGATGCACACGAGTATGTGCCACAGGCAAGAAACTGAGACACATCCATAATGCTTATGGTGAGTTGATTCTCCCAACCTCAAGCGTGCCTCAAATTGACATCTAGACTATTTCCGCTCAGCTGCCAATCCAACTAGATCTTTGTGTCCGCCTGTCTGGCGATCTCTCATTCCGATTTCTTCTGCCTTGACTCTCTCTACAAATGCCAATGTGCCCATGTAGTCTACTTCACTTGCTGCGGTCGATGGAAATCAGTCACGACTACACCCTGCACGTTGCATACAATGCTGTGAAATTGGTTTGCGACACCGATTGATATGATTTGATTGCTGCAGTTATGTCACGAAAGCACTTACTTTGCACGAAGGGCAGTTCCTCCTTCCTTCTCCTCACCTAAACACACAAATATCGACGACGTCAGAATATGCAATACGCATTAATGCATGCGGGGCACAGAGGCTCGCTGCAAGGTGCATGCCCTTTAGCGTAGTCACACACACACACACACCCGCACACGCACTCACACATGGGACCCACTAATACAGTCTCCTGTGTGCCTCCTGCTAGGGGCCTACACGACATCACCTATGCTCGCCCACCCAACCACACTGCACTACGATGCGCCAGTGCACACGGTGTCACAGAGCTGCATCACTTGGTCCTACTGTTCTGTCCTACCAAGTACGATATTTGTAGGTGGGAGAGCAGAGCATCACACTGTCTCCTGCAAATGCCGCAGCCTAACACGCCAATTCGTGTGCTTGCCTGCACACATCTGCGTCGACGTGCACTGCTCACTGCAATGTAATGTCCCTACGATACAAGGTTGGTGAGTACTCACTTGGTTTGATGGTCTCCAAGCGCGACATCAGGGCCTCAACGATGGTCAGCATCATAATGGTTGCGGCAGCGTTGCTCATCCACATGGACAAGA